CCTGGTGTTAGACTGAGGTGAAAAAAAAATTAAAGTAGGGTATATAAGTGCTATAATGGTAAAGTGCATGAGACATCCTATTCCGGCTGATAATTTCAGCAAATATACTACATAGATATAAGTATAATATAATATAACGACATGTCTCGCAAATATAACGACATATCGTGTGAAACACTGCTGAAGGTGAATCATATTTGATTCAAAACATACAGTTTTTATAAATTGTGTGTTAATAATTATTATATAATGCATTCCTTATTCAGAATAACTTTTATTCTATGACTATTGTAACTGAGACATGCACATTTAGCTGGGATATGCCAAGGTATTTATAAACATATAAAGAATTGAGGATTGAAACTTAAGTAGATGCCAAGCTATAATATGTTATTTAATTTTGATACAAGAAACACTGGAATCTGGCAATCTGTCATATACACAACTATTAACTATTTGGCATTAGTTACAATAAACATAATTTAATTAATATAAAGACTAAGTCAAATGTAAGCCTTTGAAATAAACTAATATTTTATATCATCGTTTTAAATATTGTCGCGGCAAATTCAAATTTTAAGCCGAAACATCAAGCACGTGCATTCTCAAAATTCACGAATGAAGATTGAAGTAGAAAATATTTCCTTTCAAAATTGCTCTATTATACATAAAACATAACAAGATTCTTAGCTGGATATTACTCAGTCATCCCTGATGTTTCATCTTCGCTTATTAAGGCTTCATCGGCTCGGCAAATTCAAATTTTAAGCCGAAACATCAAAGGTCATCAAACACGTGCATTCTCAAAATTCACGAATGAAGATAGCAAATATTTCCTTTCAAAATTGCTCCATTATACATAAAACATAACAAGATTCTTACCTGGATATTACTCAATCATCCCTGATCTTTCATCTTCGTTTATTCACGGTTAATAAGGCTTCATCGGCTCGAAATATCGAGCGAAATATTGTAACTTCGAAATCACGAACAGATTATAAAAAATGGCGGGGTGTAAATTCAGTGCTTCCACTTCCACTTTAAAAAAAATAATTTCCTTCCCAACTGCTCAAAATTTCCTTATTTTTGACAAAAATTCCTTTGATGAAGATGAATTTTACCTAGTTTAAAACTGATATTACAATAATTTATCCTGAATGTCGGTGTATTTCTCGGGTTAGAAACACCATGAACCTTGCAATTATAAATTATAAATTAATTATAAAAAACTGCAACAGGAGGCTTGAGGTCATGTCTCAGAAATTTTTCAGATTTTCATTCCCCAGGAGTAGGATTTGGATTTTTGACATTTCCTAACGCGAATTTGCTTGGGAATTGCTATAATCTTAGGATTTATTAGAAATAACATAATATCCTTATTTCCTTGCTGAAAACAAAATTCCTTGCCGTTTCCTAGTAAATTTTATTTCTTTTTGCAAAGAAATGTCCTTGCAAGTGGAAGCACTGCATGGGATGACCAGTGTAGGCAACAGTTGAAGCCTCCCCCTTTTCTCACCCTCCGCCCCTCACCCCCCTATAAAATACGGTTCTATTTTATTTCATTTTGCTAAGTAGGAAAATTCAGAATGTTTTAATTTAAATAGACTAGCTATTTTATACATATCTGCAAATTGTAATCCTGAATCCCGGTAAATGTAAAATAGGATTAAAATAGTGTATTTTATTATATTTTGCAAATTAGGGAAAGTAAATAGGTTTAAAATAGTATATTTTATCCCTATTTGAAAAATGTGGCAGTTTTAAAAATGTGCAATAGGTTTAAAACAGTCTATTTTATTCTGTTTTGCGTATTCTGAAAATAAATAGCTTTAAAATACTATATTTTATATCTATTTTAATTTATGTAATATTCTGCACGTGCAAAATATGTTTAAAATAGTCTATTTTATTGTTATTTTGCTAACTATGAAAGAAAGATAGGATTAAAATAGTATATTTTATTCCTGTTTGAAATTTGTGCATTTAACTTCGAATGTAAAATAGGATTTAAACAGCCTATTTTATTTTATGAGTTTAAAATAGCATATTTTATATCTATTTTAATTTCTAACTGCTTTCTGGTGAAGTAAAATAGAATTTAAATAGGCTATTTTAAACCCATTTTTTCCCTGAGGCTCTGGAAAATAGTATTAAAATATGCGATTTTATTTCTATTATCTATAAAAATAGGAATAAAATAAAATAAAACATTAATAAAATATGGCTCTTTCTTTTAGTGAAATATTATGATAGAATTAAAATAGGGTTGCCTCTGAATAAAATAGCATAAAAATAGGGATGATAGTAATAAAATAGTTTTAAAATAGCAATATAATATAGTTATTTTCGCAAGGGAGGAGACTGGAATAGGATCCCAGAACTCAGAAGTCGGTATATACGTCAATTAGCCCCAGATTCACCACAGACTATATGGCCATATCTCGTCTGCACTAGAAAGCTGGCGAGCTTATTAACATTACCTTATTCGTACTTAATTTCGCACTTAATTTCGCGATTTTTTTTAGGCACTTCATTTTCGATAATTCATTTTCGCGAATTTGGTATAGGGGGAAATAGAAAAATGGCATTAAATTTCGCGAAAGCTTTCTAAACAACATATGATTTTATATAAAAATCTGAACCACAACTTTCAAAACAAGTCAACATAAAATACTTTATTGCCGGTATTCTGTAACAATTAAGACAAAATGCGAACTGTAGCTTAGTTACAGTGGAGCTTTTTTATGGAATAGGCTACCAAGATCTCTCAGATCAGTAACCTCTCACACTGCTTTTAAGACGGGTTTAGAAACCTTCTTAATAAATAATCGATCCGACTCCAACACGGCAATCAGGTAGGACAGTATTTTAATTTGTGCATGTATTTTTTTAAATTTGTTATATATAATTACTGATGATTTTTCCGTGTTTAAATAAAGTTGATGTATAATTTGTTATTTATGTTAGTATATAAGCTCTGGACATGTTGTTAGTAAAAATTTTATGATCGGAATTTTTAACTATATAGGGTATTTAATTTCGCGTGTGTAAATTCCGCGAGGTTTTTTAAGTCAGGCAGATAAGAGCTCAAAATTATGTCATATGTGCACACTTACCATGTCGGGGGGGGGGGGGAATTTAAATTATGATGTACTTGCAGATTGAAACCTCCTGATGATGTTTTCGAATGTTGTTTTTGAACTTTTTTCTTGTGTGATATGTTCAACATCGCTTTATTTACTCTTCCTATCGATTCGAATGTCAGCCATTTTGTTTGTAAATTTCGCATGAAAAGTTGAGCCCACGTTATTTCAGACAGCGATTTGACATGTTACTTAATTTAAAGTAAGACAAACAAACAAAAGATTACAATGGATGGTGGTCTTTCGTCCTCTAACCGTCCTAATACCAATGCCTAATACTCTGAATCATCATCTGAGTGTTCAAGCATGTCCGTTTCATCTTCATAAGGCAAAGTGTTGAAACATGAGTTACAGTCACACAAGACAGTGCATTTAAGTCCATGTGCTACACGTGCACACACTCTGTTGAGACAACCTGACTTCTTGCAGCCTGCTGGTTTTTGACTTATCCATTTTATTTCGAGTCGATTATTTACATTAATCCAGCCGAATCCATTGGGGTGCGGGAAGTAGCTGTTAGGTACCAACGCAGATTTCCAAACAAAGGTTACATAATTGGCTCGTACGCGTAGACAATGGAGAAGTAATTCGTCTTCTGTAGGTGGGAGTTGTCGCGGCTCTGGGACTTTTGCTGTGCACAAAACTTCTTATATCGCGCATCGTTAATACTTTGACAGTTTTTCACGCCATAACATTCGGAAATTATCTTCTGAATTACGGAGAAAACATCCATTTCAAAATTAACACTCCTTCCCATACTTGCCAGAACATCCTTAAAATGATCAGACTTCTTGACAACTTTGTACATCTTCTGTTTTCCTATGCCAAAAAAAGCACTGGTGTAATCACGGCCACTCAATGCGTGTAATGCGGGAAGGGCATCCGACATATCTTTTCCGATACTTTCGTGCATCTTTGAAACATCCAGGATTCTTTTGTTGCCTTTTGATCCAATTTGAAGAAATAAATTGCTCGGCAACACATCATTATAATAAGTCGCAAGAACACCAACGTCACTGTTACTGTCAACGGTCGAAATACAAATATTTCCACAAGATAATTCTTGAATTGCGTGTTGCGAACAAAGGAACATTTTGGTATCAGGTTTCTCTTGATTAGAAAAGAGATGTTTCTTCAAGCACAGATCTAAACAGGCCATTTTTCACTTCCAAACGAAAAGCGTGAGACTCCAGTGCAATGAATAAAACACTATGTGCAAGCTTTAAAACGTCCAGGATCAGACCAATCTTCTAGGAAGAATCGCACCAGATCCACCTTGTTGCAACCATTGTCAAGGAACGTTTTGAACTGCTTAGGTATTTTCTGATCTAGATTCGCTTATCTATCTTTCTTTTCTGCGTTCATAAGATCACGTTGAACATCATCACTACACTCCAAGCCAGAGCACAGGTGCACGAGTCAGCTATTTTCCTTAAATGGCGTTCCCAATCTTTCAACAATTCATAGCTTCGAAAAGTGCATTCCTTGTCAAATGAAATTTTCTTTTGAGCCAAGTACTTTGTCACGCATTTATGATCAGTCATTCCTAAGAATTCCGCTAGCTGAGATTGGGACTTTAACGCAACATGCAAAGTCAGCGACCATCTTTGAACGGTGCCTTCTGAGGTACTAAAGCCAATAATTCCACCTACACTTTTGGTCTCTGTTGATAATTTGTTCGATGGCTTGATCACTGGGTATCTTATTAAATTTTCCAGGTTGCCTTCTGACGGAGAAATTCCCTGCCTCGAATTGTTCGTGTATACATGGATGTGTTTCTGGTAATTTCTGCATTGTAACCATATAATACGTCAGATAACGAGCGTAATTTGGTCGGTCGTAGGGAAACATCCATGGCAACATATCTTCCGTTGATTGCATACGGAGTTTCCAATTACCCAGCTTAATTGAACGCATAAAATCAAAGAAAGGATCTTCTCACTATGTGTTTCATAAATCGTCTCCAACGTATCTTCGCCAGGAGAACGCACAAAATTTTAGAGCTCTGTTGACTCAATAAATTCTAAATAATAGTGATTTGTGGTATCAGAGCTTTCTTTTACCCACTGTTCATAGCTCTCGATAGAATGCGTCGCCAAAACGTTCCCCAATAACTGCGATGTAAATACACATGATATGAAAAGCACCAAGACGTAGCACGATAAATATCATCAGGTCAGTATATTTGGGATTCATAAGAATCTCGACGGCCTTGTTGTAGATAGCCATATCAAGAACTACGTCTGTTTTAGCTAATCCAAGCTTCTCTGCTTTGAGTTTGGACTGTACCAAAGTTCCAAAACAGTGTCGTGGGATTTTAGCGATTGGTTAATGGCTGGCAGGTACCCGATTCTGTGAAAATTTTCCCTTTCATTTTCGCACATTAAATAGTTGAACCCCGTCCAATTAGGTATTGTTTGTTGAACACAGAAATTACTTGCTTGGCTCCTTACAACTACCCAAAGGGTGTCGATTATGTGAGAAATTTCTCGTTCTTGTTGGTGCTCATTTAATTGGACACCAACTACTGTGTCTGTCTTTTTTCGCTTGATATGCATGAAAGAAGATATTTCGTTAAACATTGGCTGAAACGATTTCCTCTTTGGGTTTGGGTTTGGGTTTGGGTTTGGGTTTGGGTTTGGGTTTGGGTTTGGGTTTGGGTTTGGGTTTGGGTTTGGGTTTGGGCTAGCTGTAGCTGGAAACGTCGGGGATGGTGATTTAGATTCGTCTCTAGAAGATGATAACTGTATAACAATCCCTTTTGTGCAATGCATGGTTATTCCTTTCAAACTTTCTGGATTTATGTCATTGTTATCCCAAACGAATGTAACAAATGTTGATGGTTGAATAATCGAAGGAGTAAATGATCGATGCACTTGGTGTTGACTATGTTCCACTGCCAAACTCGTTTCAAGTATCAGTACTTCCTCATAGGAAATACCATGGCCAAACTTGTTTGTCCATGTAATGAGCTGCTTGGAACCGGTCTTTCGTTTAATCAAGAACGATAGTGTAGTGTGCACACTTTGATGTCTGTTTTCGTCAACTGTTTACGTGGTATAGGAGATCCTGGCCAATAGAAGACACGAGACATCCAACTTTTGAAGTTTCCTTGGCCTTTTTCGTAAGGATACCTTCAAGTAAACGATTCGTCAGGCGGGGGACTGTTGTCTTTCTTGACAAATATTCATGTTCAGATGGCGGCCAACTGAAATGAAATATAATTTGTCTTACAATGGAAAAATGTTTTTAGAACCGGCAAGAACGGAATGCTATAGGTGTCAAGGTGACTTAGAAATTAAAGTTGTCGGTAAAGTAATTTGTCATGCAAGATCACGATATACTAACGTACCTACTATAGGTGTTCGGGGTCTCTAAAAGCTCATCTCGAATAAGTCGCGCAACCTCTGGCGATTTACCCTCACATCTTTGATTCTTGATCTTTGCTTTCACAGCGACCTCGATCAACTGCCCTTTTTCAAGATTGTTGTTGAAGACAAACTCACCTCCGCGTGATGTTTTCCAGAATCCCAGTTTTTCACCAAAACAATTCTTTATTTTTTCCTTCAAACTCTACGTCCTTTGTAGGCTAACACCTGGACATCCCTCTCCATCAGTCAATTGATCTACAATGTCGGAATACAACTGCGATATATATGGCATCCCTAATACTTCACAGTTATTATTTACCTTTTCTTCGACTTGTTTTAGGAGCTTGGTGAAGGCATCGTCTGCTATGTTTTCGCCTTGGTTTGCTTCCTTTTTCCTAATAATAATTTTCCGATAGCAAGAACGATGATAAAAATACTCCTTTGCGACTATAGTTTCACAGTCAGAAATACTGATTTCTGGTGGTAAGCATGGAAATTTCACACTGGCCGCGGCTCGTTGCAATGTCTTTGAGCTATTCTCAGTAACACATTTATCAAGATCCTCGTAACCGCTTCCCGTTGGTGCCGTATTTTTCTTCAAACATATACAGCATTCTTCATCCATCAATACATTTCCTAATAATTTGCGGTACATTACCTGCTTTAATGGTCGATGCAAATTGCAACCAACTGCGACGGCGTAAACTCCGTGTTTTGGATAGAGGAGCTAGCAAATGCTGCCAGCGTGAGCCCCCTATGGAGGGCTAAACATGTTAGAGGCCCGAAAATTCAATAAAACCAACGAGTTTCACATGCAAAACTATTGAGGTGGGGCGACAGTGGCGTCTCAAGCCTGAAATAACTGACAAGCGTTAAGGGCGTCCGGGGGCATGCTCCCCCGGGAAAATATTGGAATACAAAGTCCATGCAAGTCACGAAACCCTATTTCGCGCGTTTTAGGCTAAGATGTTTCACGATTCCGGACGAATTTTAGGATTCCAATGTTTTGAGGGATATATCAGTGAACTCTAAGTAAACTTGAACGATAACTCCTGTGATGAAGACCTATGAATGGTTGAAGCCAATGGACGGGGAAATCAGCTTTCATAAAAATTAAGGAGACTTTCGCAGAGTAAGAAAAATTGAGTCAAAAGTTTGTTTGAGCAAAAATTTGCAAGAAAAACACTTTTTCATGAAAATACTTGTACTTCATTGTACTTCACCAATACTTGCTTTGAACGCGCCCCACCCAGGTTTCCATCAAATTTGGTGGAAAAATTACAAAATCGGTGTTTGAGAAAAATGGGGTGGACATGCCCACCCCAGTCCACCTCGTAGCAACGCCACTGCCGGACGAAAGAATGAGGCATCAGGTGTTATTCTTATAAAATCCAAAAATAGTTTTTACCTCTTTGTCCGTTTTTTCTTGAAGATGTTCGAACGGCTTTTCGTGATGGGTTTTTGCTCAATTTTTCCAACAAACGTTTGTGCGTATATTTCTGATAATTTTTTCTATGGTATCCATTCTCACTCGCAAAAAGGTCTTTATCTTCCTTGTACGATTCCAACAGGGCCAATATTTTATCATCTTTTCTTACGCAAGCTGCGTTATGCACAACCTCTTTGGATATTTTGCTAAATTTTATAATGTGTTCTTTCTTTTCTGCCGTGCAATTTAGGATGCAGTTTTGGTTTGCTTGCTTTTTCCTTCTTTTTGTAGGTGTTAAATTAACATTAACATTTAGAGCTTCTCTATTTTTTGGACTTTTTGACATAATTTTGCGTTTTTTTCTAATACTTTTGTGAGTTTTGAAAAAACTTGCATTGAATTTAAATTACCATTGGTAAATCTTACATCAAGTAGTTAGCCAAATCGCTGTCTAAAATAACATGGGCTCAACTTTTCATACGAAATTTACAAACAAAATGGCTGACATTCGAATCGATAGGAAGAGTAAATAAAGCGAGATTGAACATATCACACAAGAAAAAATTTTAAAAACAACATTCGAAAACATTATCAGGAGGTTTCAATCGGCAAGTATATCATAATTTAAATCCCCCCCCCCGAAATGGATATTATGCTGTCGTCAATATTTGGTCAAGCACTCAGTAATAGAATATCTTTGAATCTCTCCAGCTATCAAACCGCAAATATTTGCTTAAACTTGACTCCATGTCAGGAATACACTATTTAGGATGAAATCCAATTTAAATAGTCTCAATAACAGTCGAAATTGTCAAAATAAGTCCAATATGCGACGTGCGATCGCAAATGTGTACTTTTTGTTATTTACTTTTTATTTTGCGACACTTAAGCGTCAATATAATTTCGCGACAAAATATGTTATTTTTTACGGCACCTTTGACGTCACAGTAGAAAACTACGGAAGCCGTGAAGGGACTTCAGATTTCAGACTTCAGACTTCAGACTTCAGACTTCAAACATTGGTTCCGAGCTTCGCTAATAGCCAACATTGCTTCTGCGAAGCTGGCTAATATTTAAGGCACTTATTCAGTCAAAGCTGTTCAAACTAAAGTTAAAAATGGTCAGAATGATTTAGATTGTAAATGCAGACTGTTGGAATATGTCAGTGAGTTCTGAAAGTTCTTTGAAGGTTTAAAGGCAGAACGATAAAACATATAATACTATTGTTTGCAGAAACACTACATAAATTTATTACTGCAGTAAATTTATTAACTTTATTCTGCAAATTTATCAAGTTAAGTATAACACGCGCTCAAAACTAATGCGTATAATATACCGCTTGAGGTTATGACTAAATTCAAAATTTTTATTTTTCGATACGTTTCTCAATCGGCAAACAAACTTAAAAAGTACGTTTAGTGCTTTCTCTGTAAAATAATGCTAAATTGAAGAGATTTTAGACTACGTCAAACAGAAAATTATGTCTGAAGTTCAGTAAGTTTGCTTATATTGCTCGGCTTAAATATGGCGTCAATTTTAAAGCATCATTGATAATTGTATTTTAATTGACAATTTTTAACTATGATTTTATGTTTCTCAACCGGCAGATGCATCTAAAAAGGTAGCTTACTGTATAAACTAAAGAATAAAGCAAAAACAAAGTGATTCTAAGAGGAAGAACGCAAAAGCAATGTTGGCTATTTGCGAAGCTCGGAACCAATGTTTGACAATCAGACTTCGGACTTCAGACTTCAGACTTCAGACTTCAGACTTCAAACTTCAGACTTCAGACTTCAGACATTGGTTCCGAGCTTCGCTAATAGCCAACATTGCTTTTGCATGCGTCCTCACTTCCTCCTGTTAGAATCACTTTGTTTTTGCTTTATTCTTTAGTTTATACAGTTAATTAGCTACCTTTTTTTAAAATGGTAGCTAATTAACTGTATAAACTAAAGAATAATGCATCTGCCGGTTGAGAAACATAAAATCATAGTTAAAAATTGTCAATTAAAATACAATTATCAATGATGCTTTAAAATTGACGCCATCTTTAAGCCGGGCAATATAAGCAAAACTTACTGAACTTCAGACATAATTTTCTTTTTGGCGTATTCTAAAATCTCTTCAATTTAGCATTATTTTACAGATAAAGCACTAAACATACTTTTTAAGTTTGTTTGCCGATTGAGAAACGTTTCGAAAAATAAAAATTTTAAATTTAGTCATAACCTCAAGTGGTATATTATACGCATTAGGTTTGAGCGCGTGTTATACTTAACTTGATAAATTTACAGAATAAAGTTAATAAATTTACTGCAGTAATAAATTTATGTGGTCTTTCTACAAACAATAGTATTATATGTTTTATCGTTCTGCCCTTAAACCTGCAAAGAACTTTCAGAACTCACTGACACATTCCAACAGTCTTCATTTACAATCTAAATCATTCTGACCATTTTTAACTTTAGTTTGAACAGCTTTGACTGTATAAGTGCCTTAAATATTAGCCAGCTTCGCAGGAGCAATGTTGGCTATTAGCGAAGCTCGGAACCAATGTTTGAAGTCTGAAGTCCCTTCACGGCTTCCGTAGAAAACTGATGCATCACCTACGTCACGGTAGATTTGGTTTTCAGCCATTTTGCATCAGAGAATGCATCGGTCCCGAGTCCTTTTCCGCGTGAAATCTACTGTGACATCATCAACTCTATTGTTTTAGAGCCCTACGTCACGTTAGATTTGTTCGCTGAGCGATGCATCGCATGCAGATTGCGGGCGCTCGCATCGATTCACTGATGCTAATTGCAAAATCAAAATCTACTGTGACGTAACGAGGCATTCGATTCAAGTCATGCATGGCGGCAAGGGCGGGCAAAGAAAAATGAAGACCTGATACACATGTTATTATTAAACGTTTGTGTCCTACAACTGCCTTTATGGTTGTAACTCTGATTGGCTATTTCTAGCATGAGTATTCATGCCATATTTAATGTATTTTTTGATGTTTTGGTTAATTAATGCTATATATAATTAAATAATTATAGATTTAGTGATTGTAACTATATTTAGCTTGTTGTTAAATTATGTGAAATTGACATTTCTCCTGGCACATTTTGATTGGATACCGGTACTAAAAATAAAACTATGGTGTGGGTCAAGACTTGCATCAGGCTCTGTATGTAATTACAGTGCATAATAATATTGCAGGTTAATATTAATGAGATATCTAATAGTGATGCAATATTGGTTAGAAGAAGGTATCTCCTATTACATTCCATTGTCATTTTATATGGAAATGAGCTGGCATGACTCATGGCAAGAGTCTAATTGGTTTGCATTGCCTGAGTTATTGGGCAATTACTGTACACTGGATATTTTGCAAACAAAGATGATTACCTGGGCTTGCTCGCCTACCATAGTTGAGTATATATGCTTTGACTGTGCAAATGTAATTTGATATAAGCTGTATATGTCATTCTCCTGACAGATTTTAATCTTAGAATGATAAAATGATGGACGGTATAAATACTGTATTTAACTGTAACTGGTGTATATAGGATAAAATTATGAAATTTGCTCACAAAAGTGGGATTGTTTGGAAAATATATTTAATTAAATTATATATTTGTAGTGCTAATCGTCCCAATACTATATACCCTGAGGATTACCATTGATAAGTGTATGGATATATTTGACAAAGATGTGCATTTATATAATAACACAGGGAAAATATTCATCAATACTACTGTGCAGCCTTTCTACATTGACAACATCTTAAAAGAATACTATATTAATATTAGTTGAAAGGCAGGCAAAAGGGGACAGATAGAAGACATGATTCAATTATGTCATGGTATATTGTTTATTATAATCATTGTACAGTTTGGTATATAGGTACATTTTACAAACAATTTCCAACTAAGATAGTTCATTAAATCAATTTACACACAGTCTCTATTGATTTAAAATTTGTGGTCGTGTGTACCTAGTTATACTAATAGAATTTTAAACCAGTGCTTGTTGTGTGTTAGTTTCCTGGTTTCATGGTCACAGGGCAATATTCTCAGTATTCAGAGTATATTGTAAACTTTATTCGACAGTAAAACAAGACATACCAAACGGCACGAGTGCAAACGGGACTCGAAGTCCCATGCGAGGCACTCTACCTTTTTACAAATTGATTAAATTACAAAAATTATTGTTACGATTACTACAGGGTGT